ATCGATGTTACCTTTATGTTAATTATTATGAAGCAATATCTTTAGTTTGATGTCATGTTAATGGATTTGTTACTTTGACAGAAAAGGGCAGAGACTGTGTGGAGCCAAATAGAGTCGACTTTGAAGCAGATTGAGATTGGTGGAACAGAAGTAGAATGCTTCAAAGCATTGAAGAGGCAAGAAGAGATGGCTGCATCTTTCAGGAAAAAGAATTTGCAAGAGGAAGTGGCAAAGCAAAAGGAGACGGAGCAAAAACTGCAGGCGCGTTACGGCAATCTGTTGTCAACGCTTGAAAAAGCAGAAGAGATAATGGTGGGGTTCCGAGCACAAGCATTGAAACAAACAGATGTCGGAGATTCTCAGAAACTGAAAGAAGCCAAGCCTACCACTGGAGAAGAAGAGGACGTAGCCGTAGCCATGGAAGCTTCTGCTTAAACGTTCCTCGGAACTTGAGTTTTGTATTGGTTCCAAGTTTAAAGGGGAGACAGCTTGACTTTGTATTGGTTCAAGTTTTATATGAGTCATGACTTTGTAAAAAAAGGTTGTGGTATTATTCTCTGTTGTATGCTTTGCAAGGGTCAAGAAAATTGAATACTTTTTTTTTTTTTTGAACGTCTTGTTTATTAATTGAGAAAGTTTTACAAAGGTCTCATACATTCAAATGCTGAATACAAATGGGAATAACATTGTAAATACAACATGATTGATATTGAGACATGCCAATGTGAGCGATTTTATCGGCAATGTCATTGTTTTCTGGTCTTGTATTGACGACATACACGCTTGCAAATCGATCCATCATCCAATGATGTATATCATGTTTGTTTACTTAAACATCTGTTTGTTTCGTACAATTTGAAACTATCTAATCCTCATTTGATGCAAATTTTACGAGCAATAATCTTTAAAACCCCAAAAATCAAATTTCAAATCAGTTAAGTCCATTTTGTTTTTTGTTTTGATTTTTAATAAAAACGTGGTCAATTACAAATAAACCCTTAATGAATTACACGACCCAACCATAGATCCGACCCTACCCAAACCTGGATCCGACCCCAATAAGGACTATATGGGGAATTGTGCACTAAAGCCAAAAGTTTTGTCGGAGCCTAAGGATTCACATCATTAAGATCAGAAGATGGACGCTGCAAGCAACTTGTTTCTTCGAATAAAAAGTCAAAACAATGATGTAAACTAACTTGATAATCTCTTATTTAAGTCTCA